ATTTTTCTTTCCTGTTTAAACCACTGTGTGCTTCTCTGGGCAGTGGGTTTGGTTTGGAGGGGTCTATTTAGGATGTGCAGCTGCCTGAGGTGCAGCCTCCTGCCAAGAGCTGGCTGGAGGGTTTGCAGGCTGGGAACTGGGACAGTGTGGGAGCACCATGGGCAGCTGCTGCAGCTGCTGAACATCAGGAACCCTTTGGCTCCACCAGACCTCCACCAGCTGTTGGCCCCTCTGTGCAGCCTCATGGGGTCCAAACTGGTTTTTTACTAAAGGTACCATGTAAATATGAGCTGCCCAAGCTCCCCAGAGCCTTCACCCTGCTTATTGAGCCAAAATGAGCTGGCACATCTCTCCAGCAGCTGCCCAAACCTGTCATCTTCCCCCGAGGCTGGGGCAGACCCAAGGGATGTGGCTCTCTGGGGCCAGCAGGACTTTTCCCCATGGTGAGATGTGATGCCAGAGATAGATACACCACACCAAATATACTTGAAAACAGAGCTGGAGTTTCTCATGCCTGAGGCTCCAGCTCTATGCACAGAGATCCTGAGCTGGTAGCTGCACAGTTTGCTCCCACACTCGGGACCAGGAGGTGACTCCATCGGCCGTTTGTCATTCAAGCCTGTCTGTGTCCAGCTGAGATACACAGAGCTTTTGTTTTTGAATGTACATCCATAAACCCGAGGCAAATGAGAAGCACTGCAATAAACACTGGGTTGTTTGGCATCCAGCTGCCTAGAAATGGAGTTTGGGGTTTGCAGTTTCCCACCTGTGACTCTGTGTGGGGATGGGGGGTGTTTCATGTCCAGAAAACCTGCAACCAGCCTTGCTGCCCTCGCAGTGCCCTCACCCTGTTAGACACAGTCCCTGTGGGCAGAAATAAAGCCAAGGGGTGGTTTGGGGTAGAGTTTATCTTCCTAAAGATCTTTTATAATAAATAAAGCTGTGAAGTGTGTGTCCTGTTGGGCCACAGAGCAGAAGCTATAAAAGGGGCTGGGACTGCTGTGGGATGTCTCTCCCTGGGATTTTATGCCTTACCCATCACTGCTGGCTGCTCCACATCCACCCACTCCTGTGAGGTGTATGTGGACTCCCCTGCCTGCTGTGGGACTGTGCCATGAGAATCCCAGTGCATGACCAGAACCTGCAATGCCACAGCCCTGCTGGACACATGGGACCAGAGCCAGGGAGGGAGGACTGTGGGACCATCCCAGCAGGGCTGGGAAAATCAGGATCACAGGACAGAACCTGATTCTGTGCTCCTTGTACTGGTGTGGCTCCAGGATGTTGGATGTAACAAGGGGTTACCAGGTCACATCTGGAGCTGGGACACCAAGGGACTCCTGGCCAGCATGGGGACAAGGTGATTCAGCTGCCAGCTCAAACAGAACTGGCTGTACACCTCCCCAGGATGCTGCTGTGGGGTTCATAAAGCCGCTCCAGGGCTGGTTGAACAACAAGCATCTCTCTGCCCTCCCACCTGCTTTTTGGGCCTTCCTGGCAGCAGACATTGGGCCACAGCTCTTCCTCCATCCCCACTACCCTCACCCTGCACGGGAGGTCCCAGCTCCCCAGAGGAGAACCCAGGGATGGAGGCAGAGGGTTTGACATCAGCTCTGCCCTGAGCTGGGGCTGCTGGAAGAGGGCATGGGGACCAGGATCATGTTTCCAGTAGAAAATGGGGCAAGTTGGAGGGACTGCATCCTGATGGAGCATGATGAACTCCTGATCTGCAGCTGGGTCTCTTCTGTTCTTCCATGCTCTCCTACATGCCTTTTTTCCCCTTGAAAAGCCTCAGGTTGCAGATATCACATAAATTCCAGGTGCTAAGGAGTCTCCAAAGCAGGAAGAGGCAGAGAGGAGGGGTAAGGAGATGGTGCACAGGGCACAGAGCAGTGCTCAAGGTGCTGGTGGGAGCCTTTGCACCCAGGATAGGCAGGAGCTGCTGGACAAATGTGCAAACCCTCACCCCCCTCAGGGGATTCCCACCTGAGAGCATCCCACTTCTCCCCAGTCCGAGCTGGCCCAAGGCCCTGGCAGGGTGGGAACAAGTGATGCTCACCCCTGGGTCCTGGAAGCAGTCGCCAGCGGGTGCTCATTAGCTCGGGTGCTCATTAGCTCGGGTGCTCATTAGCTCGTGCTCATGCTGGCCACTGCCCAAATAAGTCGGAGCAGTGTGAAATCCCAGCGGAGGGGAGCCAGGAATGCCGGGGCCAGCCGGGGCCAGCCCTGACGCAAGGGCAGCGGGTGGCGGGGGACAAAGGCAGGGCAGGGACGGGGCTGGAGGGAGGGGGAGCCACCCAAATTCGCAGCAGGAGAGGAAGCGATGGAGCAGCTGGAGGCAGCTGGATGGGCTTTGCTCCTGCCACCGCGCCCAGTTTCAGGAGAGGAGCGGGATGGTGCCCCAGGGTCACTGCTGGCACCAGGATTTGGAGGCCGGCGGTGCCAAGGCGGTGTGGGCAGGGCATCCATGTGGATGGGATGTGGATGGAAGAGGAATATCCACTAGAGGGGACTGTGTGATCGCGTGTGGAGCGCTCTGCTGCCAGCCTGCGCTCCCACCGTGTGCCAGTCCTCCTTCCAGCCCAGCCCAGTGCCCTCCGCGTCCCTCCCGCTGGGCACTGCACCGGAGGCACCGATCACCGGGACCGGGTGATGCACCAGGGGGTACCAAGGGGCAGCCACAGCCTCCAGGAAAATCAGATAATCATTGAATGGTTCGGGCTGGAAGGGATCTTAAAAACCACCTCATTGCAACCCATGGGCAGGGACACCTTCAGCTATTCCAGGTTGCTCCAAGTGCCATCCAACCTGGCCTTGGACACTTCCAGGATGGGGAAATGTTCTGGGGTGGCCTCCACCAGCTGCTGAGCCTCCTCCCAACCACTTGCTCTCTCTCCAGCTGGATGGGGCAGAGAATGGGATGGGCAAAAACATGAATGATTTGTGGGTTAGAAGATGAACTAGGCACCTATAGGGTCCATATAGAAAATATTGCTGGAAAAATCACAGGCTGAAGGCCCTTGACAGCCCAGGGCATCCCTCCTTCCCCTGCTCAGCTCTGCCCCTGCTTTCCCAGCTCTCCCAGGGATTGCTCATCCTGGCCCTGAAAGCCTGAAATCCCCCAAGGAGCTGGAACATGACTTTGCCTTTTCCTTTTGCTCACTCTGAAGCCAGAATCTGTTCTGGGGAGCAGAGTGGGGGAGATCTGCCAGTGGGGAGGACAGGGGGACTGGGGTGGTTCCTGGTGGGTTTTGCTGGTCCTTCCCTTCTCCCCCAGCACCATGAAATTATTTCCCTCGTGGCTGGATTAATGGGATTTGCTTCTCAATTTGTGCACAGGGACTTGAGTAATGTACTCCCCAGAGAGAAATCAACTTCCCTTGGCCCAGCAGTGCTGGGGAGGCCAGACCAGAGCCCACATGATAGGCTGCACTGGCTTTCTCCTGTCCTTTAAGGCTCCACACACATTAAGCCCGTCCTCCTGGCAAAAATCTTGCAAAATGTTTATTTGTGACTATGTTAACAAACATGCCTGGGGAACATGTTGTATTCAGACGTGAGCATGTCACCTTCTCCCTGCCTTCCCTGGGGCCAGGACTGTGGGCAGTGAGGGGCCAGGGCTCAGAGCTGCCAAAATCCAGCTGACGCTGCACTCGGAGCACCGCCGGGACCAGCAACCCCGAGCACGAGGCCACCTCGCCTGCTGCTCCCACCAACCACCAAACCTGCCAGCAACATCCCACCAGTGCCTTTTTCCTGGAGGTTCCCAGCTCTTGGCTTTTTCCTGGAGGTCCCCAGCTCATGGATGCAGCTGGGGGAAGGGTCTGACCTCGTGGAACCCTGGTGTCCTGCAGCCAGAGGGACACGAGGGCTCCAGGGATCCTGTCCAGCTCTGTAAACACCCGTCATAGGGGAGGGCACTGCTCTCAGGACACACCATGGGCAGAGACCAGTGGAGCTGAGCTGGCACACCCCACACCACCCTGAGCTCATCCCTATCCCTCACCTGTCCACTCCTCCTCAGCTGGTGGGTGCCAGCAATGATCCTGGGATGGAGAAGGTGCCTGGAGAAACGGTGCTGCGCCTCTCCCAGAACAGACTCACCCTGAACACATACTGTTCTAAACTCTAACTTGCCAGATTTGGGGTGAACTTGTGTCTGGGTTCAATACTCCTTGCATCTGAATCTGCTTTCAGCATCTCCAGGTAACCAGGGCTGGAGCTGGGTC